TACGAAAGAGCGGGAGACAGAGAGGCACGGTCAGCCGCGCGTCCCTCCTCCCCGGCCCCCAGGCAGACCAGCACCCGCCCACGCTCCCAGCACCCACTCGACACTTGCTGCACCGGCAGGCACTGCTCCCGGTGCTTTACGTGTGTCCACTCCTAGGATGTTCCCAACAACCTCACACCACAGGTACTGTGACCCGAGGGTCCCTGGAGGAAACTGAGGCACAGAGAGCTGGGGTACCTCCCCCAAGGGCACACGGAAAGCAGGGAGGAGCCGAGGTGCGCACTGGGCAGGCTGCACTCCCATATCCCCAGACAGACGGGGACCCCCGGCCCCCGGCCGCCCTGACCGCTGATGGTGGCAAGGCCACCGCGAGGGCTTAGGCCGAGGCAGGAGGGCAGGGCCGAGCCCAGGCTGCCTGCGTGGCCACGCTCGGGCCTGCTGCACCCGCTGCCTCCTGCAGGAATGTAGCCCATTTGATAGAATCGAGGGAAACTAAAAAGGTGAATTTCCTCTCCAGAGCCTGGAAGGGGCAGAGCAGGGGAGCCCTGACAACCTGAGTCCCCACCCCGCACGCTTCACTTACGCGACAAGCCCCGCCCAATGGGCTACATCTACTCAGGACTCGGAGACACCACCAAATGGTGACAGGGATGACCAGTGTTCGCTCTCCTTCCTACGGGCCAGCCGACAGGCATTCCCATGTCATCTTGTCTGCACTCCTGAGACGCTGCTTTCTAAGCGCTTGTCTCAGTGGCGCAAGTCCCACCCCGTGCGGGTGGACAGCAACAACTAGGACACACACGTCGGGGTCCAGAGTCCCCTGTCAACCGCACATAGCTGCAAGGACCTGCCACGGCTGTGGACAGGGCCTGGGAAGCCCGGGGTGGAGAGGACAGCTGCAGTGCCACCTCCCAGTCTGGATCCCAGGCTCCGGCCCTCTCTCGTGACCTGACTGTGGGCAAGTCACTCGCCCTCTGTCTGCCTCAGTTCCCTCACCTTACACCGCAGAGTTTGTGTATTCATTCGACATTTTTATCAATCACCTATCTGTGCCAGGTGTTGCTCGGGGTACTGGGAATAGAAAGGTGAACAAAATAAACAAAATCCCTGCCTCCGAGGAGCTCACATTTGATTGGGGAGAGAAATATCAACGTGCCAAGCGTAGCATCTGCCAGCTGCTGAGGGCTCTGGAGGAAAATAAAGCGGGGGATGATGACGATGGGAGCATTCAGACCACACAGGGAGGAGAGGACCAGACTGCGCCTGGCCCGCGAGGACTCCGTGAGTGTAAGCTCCCACGACCCTGCTCGCTAGCACTGCCGCCTGAAGTAGAAGACAGTCCACTGACTTCTTCATATAATTTTTGCACGGGATGAGATTATGGGCAAGTTCTTTTTCCTAATCTTATTTTCCAAATGAAGACCAAAAAACCCCTTGGAATAAGGAAATAAAACACAACCCCTAAAAACAACTACCAGATTCTAGGTACACCTGTACCACTTAAGGCCCAGGATCCACATCTGGCTCACCATCTGTTTTTCTAAATAAAGTTTTATTGGGACGCTGTCCCTCCCATTTGTTATTCTCTACAGCTTCTAATTTTAAAGGAAAAATACTTTTGTAGACCCACGAGACTGAGGCGGGCCCTCACTACCATGTCCCCCGAGACTGATGGATGAGTCCACCTGCCACTATAAAGGAAAAGCACGGAACTGGCCCAGACAGGTGTGCGCCGTGCTCTGCAGCGAACAGGCTCGCAGCCCGCCCACCGCTAGCCATGCACCTTCCGGCTCCACGTCACCCTCAACACTAAGTCCACAAAAGGGAAGTCTGAGCCCACGGTTCTCATTGGGATCAGTAGCGGCAGCATCCCAGGGGAGTTGATTAGAATTGCAAGTTCCTGGGCCCCGTCCCAGACCCGCTGAATCACAGACATCGAGGGTGGACCCAGTGACCTGTGTCTCTGGTGATTCTCGTGCCTGCTGGAGTCTGAGAGCCCCTAGTCTACACTGTTCCTGGGCTCACGACTGTGGTGGGGTTGGGGGGATGGACTGTCACCCAGGCAGGCACGCAGCACAGAAGTCAACGACTCAGGCTTTACACTGAGATGGACTTGGACTCGGGGCCCAGCACCCTGACTAAGCAGATGACTGCCACCTCAAGCAATCTCCCTGACTTTTCTTCTCTGGCAGATGGAGATGCCAAGGGCTCCCTCCTGGGGAAGATAAATCCCCATGCGGCTACCCTGACAGGTAAGACCCTGGGCACCGAGCGTCTCGCGCGTGCCGGCTTACACTCACGACTTTGCGTACGTCTGTACGTACGTGTGGCCTTTACTGCAGTGCAATAGGAAAAGAACGTTAATATAAAGATTCCGTCTAAATGACGCGATCGTTGCTACTGTCATCTCTAACGACAGCTGCCTCCCCCACAAAACCAAGGCCGGCCACTCGCCCAGCTCTATCCCGGCCGCACGTACCCGTTTTGCCTGTCCTCCAGGCCCTGAGCCGGGGCAGCAGGCTGGGCACCGGCAGGGGAATCGGATCCCTGTCCCCAATTCGAACCTCAGCCACCAGCTCCAGCATGTCCTCACTTCTGCAAGACAGAGGGATGAGTGAGCCCTGGGGTGCTCCCGGCTCCCGCCCCAGGCTTCTCCCACTCCGGCTGCCCAGCTACTCACTCGCCAGGCCGCAGGTCCAGGTGGCTGGGAACCCAGGTGTCTGGAGGGTCAAGGACACTCACCACCCCGGCCAGGAAGCTGTCTGCAGCCATGTCCAGCACCTGGAACAGGGAGGAGCTCCGCCCTGTCCCTGATCACGTGAGGACCCACGAATCCCATTTCCCCAGGCCCTGACCTCCTGAGCACAGACATCTGAGCCCCTAAGAACATGTAGGGATGCAAGCAAGTCCCTCGTCCTGACTGCCTCCGAGACCTGAGGCCAGCCCCAGCCTCCCCCACTGGCCCTGATCAGCAGCCCAGATGAGGGAGTCTGGGTCCCCAAGCCCACCTCCCCACCTCTGGGACCCAGGCCCCAGCGCCCTTCCTCCGCTGTCCCCTCACTCACAGTAGCCGTGTCAGCTCCCCCCGACTCCTGGGAACGGGAGTCTGAGCGTGGGCTCCGGCAGCGCCTCCACCGAAGGCCATGACACCGAGAGCCATCTGGAGAGAGATGTGCGCGGGGGATTGGAGAGGGGACTAGACACAGGGACCTTGTGAGGCAGAGAGAGGAGCCCGCCCCAGCTCTGGACAAGGGAAGCACGCTCCTGCCGACGCCTGCCGGCTCCCCCGCCTCCAGCCACCGCCACCTAACGTGGGTCCCAGCAGGACTATCCCGGGGTCCTTCTGGGGCTCCGACTCTCTCACTCTTTTGTCCTCCTAGCTGACCCCAGGACAAGTCAGCTCAACATTCAAACCAGGCTGTGACCCGGTCCCCACGAACCGCTCCTGCCTCCCCTCCCGCCCCGCTGCCCGCCAGCCCCTAAGAGCTGTAGCTCAGTCCTGCGACGCGCCACTGTGCGGTGCTCCTGCGGTCACCTCTGCCTCTCAGGCTTTCCTGTTTTACCAGACAACTCTAACCTGTCCTTAGAGACCCAGCGCACCTGTCACCCACTCTAGGAAGCCTTCCTGGGCCCTGTCCCCTCCACACCAGCTTAGCTGGGCCTCCTGCCCTCCTGCGCCGTGACTGAATCTCCCTCCTCCACCAGACTGTGGGCCCCTCCGAGGCAGCTGCGGGGCTTCCGACCCATCTTTGGCTCTCATGCCAGCACAAGGATGGTACCCAGGAGGCCTCAGAAGAGTGTGTATGAATGAAATCGGGATAAAGAATGCAGAGATAGGGCGGGGAGCTGCGAGGAACCGGAAGCGCGTACCTTTCTCATTCGGCAGACGCCCCTGCAGGGAGCTTCCCACAGCCTGCTGAATGGCCCGCTAGAGAAAAGATGGGGTGTGAAGGGGGTGGAAAGAAAGGGTGGCAGTCAGGGGACTCGTGCAAATGGTCACAAGCTCTGCTCCTGGGAGATAGGCATTCTAGACACCCTATGACCAGACTCGAACCCTTCAGAGGAGCCGGGAGTGCAGGCCCCCTGCCCCTCCTCCCCCTGGGGCCCAGGAGGTGGGCCCTGGCATCCAGACTCCCAGCCCCTCCCTCCCTTGGCCACAGATGTCCAGCAGCCTCACCAGGATGAAGGCAGTAGGAGAAAGCGTGGGGTCTCTGTCTGGCGGGCCATCGCCCCGCTCCTCGCCCGACTCCTCTGTCTTCCCTCGAGACTCATCTTCTTCCTCCATGGTCACCTAGAGGTTGAGGGGTGAGAGTCTGGAGTGCAGGCCGGCAAGGCCAGGATGGTGGCAGGGTGTGTGTGGACAGGGATGGAAGCGAAGGATGGAAATGAAGATCTCGAAGCCCCAATCAGCATCCTCGTCAGCGCCCCTCCTCTCCCCCACCGCAGCCCAGTCCTTAGGAGCGCCCCAGGTCCAGCGCACACACTGGAAGGACAGGAGTGATTCTCTTCGCTTGTCTGGATTTCAGCTGCCTCTTCCATCAGAGAGGTCTTTCCAGCCTTCCATTCGACACCCTGCTCCCCAGTTCCCACAGCTTTCCCCACAACCAAACTTAAGACCTTCTGGGTCACCCTTATGGGAGCTAACCCAAAACCAAGATTTTTTTCTGTTGAGTTGTGATTTCAAGTAGTATGTGCCACATTTCAAATGTTATGTGGCAGTGTGCTGCCTGCATTTCAAACACGACGCAACGTCCTAAAACATCAATCTTCCTTGATGGTGAGGGACCAAAAACAATTTATTTATACACATAATATAAGATGAAGTTACGATAGCGTGATCGACGAAACCGGTCTGTCGCTTTTAAAATGAAAACACTGATGTCAGAAAGGCATGCTGTCCACCAGACCCCGAGGGGACGTCGGGTCATGGCCCATCTGCCTACTGTATGAAAGCATGGCTCAAAGGTCATCCTTCAGACAGGCGGTTGTCTTAATTAGAGCCTCAAAAACCAGGAATGTTTCAGCTGCAGGTTTCTGCACGACCATCGAATGTGCTACTCTGAAACAACTTCCGGTCTCAAAGTTCCTAGAAAGCGTCAAACCCCTAACCCCCAACTCAGTGTGCTTACCTGTATCTACCTCAGAGAAAGACTGTGCAAACTGAGAAGGAGACACTCCTGCCAGTTAGCACAACCCAGTGCTCAATCCAGAGTAAAAACGATCATGATTGGCCTTTAGGGCCCAGGTCTCCCCGACATGTCTCCCCCACCCCTCCCAGCTGCATACCTGCAAATGAAACACCTCTGTCCTGGTCTCCCTCCTACCAGATATTCAAGCTTTGCCAAAGCTCCCCCATGCAGCCTTGCAGGTCTCTAAAAGCCTGAGGCTCCCTCCCTAACTCCCATGACACCCATCCTGATGAGGGACAGTTCAAGCCCTGGAGCTGCTCTCCCGCACCTCTGGGGGAAGCACGAGCTATGGTGACTGTCATAGAACACGCTTATTCAAGGTCTGCTGACTAGACACACAGATCCCAAACCCTCTGCCTTAGGAAGATGCTCCCTTGCCCATTTATACATGCCCCAGGCTCTGCAGACACACCCCGTGGCTCCTCACATCTTTTGGACAGAGAAAGTTCTGCGGACATTACTGGGTCCCTCTAGACCAGTGATTCCCCAACTACGGGTTCTGACAGCAATACAGTGCTATTTTTATAACAAATAGCTTGTTATAAAAAGTAAAGCGGACACATAGCAGTTCTTCACAGTAAGTACATCGCAAGTGGTAAATAGGAATATGAACGAGACATGAGTATTAGTTAAATATCTACATCAGCAGGCACCAGGTCTCAATCAAAAATGTATTTTTTACTGAGATCAAGGTCAAAAGAATTTGAAAAGCACAGCACTAGCTGATTTTAGATGATCCTATAAACTTTCCCAGACTACTGTGGACTGAATTCTAACTCGCTCTATAGCCTCAGGGCAATGTGGAATTTTAAAGTATGTTTCATTTGAATTACCTTCTAAAGTGCAAATACATTTGAGCTCGGAAATTTTCCAATACTCTCCTTTGTCTTAATCTCCATCTGAATATCTGGCCCCAAAAGGCATTCGAATTTGCTCCAGGCACAGAAACTGCACTCTAGCAGGTACACTTAAAGCCACCTAGATGGTTCCAGGTCCTTCTAACCGCCCCAGCCTGCTGTCACCCAGATCAGACTCTCCCCAGACGTTGGAGAACCATCCTGACCTCTCAGCGCATCTCAGTGTCTGCCTCCCTCCTTTGGTGGGTGCATCCCACTCCTAAAAGACTTTCTAACCCAGGAAGTTCTTTCGGGCCCGCTAAATGGCTCCAGACCCACGTAGGTGAGTGGCATCCTCAGGTCAGCCCATGTAGACACTTCCCAGCCCCAACAGACATACCCCAGGCTCTAGAGATGGCTCTGCAGATACTCCTCAGCTCTTGCAGACCTCCTTCACCCCTGGGACATATCTCAAGATCTCAAGATGGCCCCAGAACCCTCTGAACAGACCCTAGCCTCTGGTCAGCCCACAGACGATCAACAGTGCCTACAGAAATGACCCGAGCCGGCTATATGACAGAGGGCAGGCGCCAGTCTCGGTCCTGGCCCTGTGGCTGCCCCCGGTTCTCACCGGGACGCCCCGTGGATGCCCCCCGGCACCCAGAGACGCATCCCGGGGCCTTGAGAAGGGCCCCGTTCGGCGCCAGGATCCACCGCCGCTGTCGGGCGGGAGACCGCCCCGCTAAGTCCTCCAGGCCCCGCGGCGTATGGGGAGGACCCCAGAATAACTAGCGACCCGACTCCGCCCCGCCCACCCCGATAGGCCCGAGCCCCGCGGTCCGGACCACAGCCGCCATCTTACCCCCCCGCTGCGCGTTCGAGTCCCGGCCGGGCCCCGGACCCGGCGCGGGGCGGGGCGGGCTGGGGTGGGGGTTCGCGAGCAGAGGGAGGAGAGGGGCGGAGCTAAAACGCCGCCGAGCTTGCCGGGACTTCAAGTACCGAGCACGGTGCCGTGAAGCCTGGTGGGAAAGCTCTGGACTCAGTTTCCCAGAAGTCAACGGGGTACATGGGCAGGGGTGCGCGCGACGCAGGCCGGGAGGCGTAGTCCGCGCGTCGCCTCCGTCACGCGAGGATAGCAAAGAGGTGAGAGGTGAAGTGGGCGGGGCTGCGGTAGCCCGCGATGAGGCCCCACAGCACTCTGCGCGCGCGCGGAAAGAGCTGCGGAACAGGAAGTGATGCAAAGTGCACTCGGCTCAACAGATGCAAGGGAATTGTAGTTCCGCGGAGTGGGCAGTAGAAAAAAGGGTGGACTGCCTGGGATTTGCGCCGCCGCATTCTGGGACTCTCAGAATTCCGATTCCCCAGTCCCCTCTAAATTTGGAACCAAGAAGCCCGGCCCTACAGCCTCCTCTTTTAGGATAGAAAAGTCCAAATTCAGATCCGTCTCACTCGGCAGAGGAGTCCAGACTCCCATTTCCCTCGTTCCTGGGATTCAAGAGTCCGAGCCCTCTTCATTCCTTGGATCCAGAGTTCAGGCCCTCAGGCTTTCACACCATTCCTGGTCTCTAGCTCGAACTTTACAGGAACAGAAGTGGTCAGGCTCCCCACCCCAATTCCCTCGGGATCCAGAATTCTGGGTTTCTAGCCCCTCCAACCCCCTGCACCCGAGAGTCTGGGCCTCCAGCTCCCTTTCTTATGAAACATGGGTAATCCTAAAAGTAAGAATCCCCAGATACCCTCTTCCCCGAGACACAAGCGCAGGCCTTCAAACTCATTCCCTCCTAGGGCCCTCAGCTTCCTCCTCCTTCAAAGACCCAGAAATCCTGGCTCTAGGCCCTTCGTGACCCGGCCATCCCGGCTTGGGCGAGCTGGCTCATGGATTAGGAATGCAGTGATCTCACGGCCCCTCCCTGCCCCGTTACCCAGCTGTACCCCTCCAAGGCCCCAACTCCCCTCCCAGTCTGTCTTCCGCTTGGCTGGGACAGCGGCAACCGGAAGCCTGGGTCCCTTAGCGGGCAGAGACTCCGACATCCAGCCCAGACGCCCGGGTCGGGAGTTTGGCTAAGATCCCAGGACGGAGGTGGAGCTTCCCCTCAGGATCTGCTCCTTCCTCGGAGCGCGCCTATATACGGCCGCGCGTGAGCCGGTGAGTCCCGCCTACTAGAACAAGGGCCTCGCGGAGGGTGCCCTGAGACGCTGTCGTGCAGTTTGTCATTTGCATAGCCCCTCCCCGGGTGAGCTTTCCGACCTGTCTGCCGAAAGAATGAGAGTGCTTATTAGCATAGCCCCGCCCCCAAACGACCCACCAGCCCAGAGCGCGTGGCGCGGTTCTGGGTGGACCCAGTTCTCTCATTAGCATATGTCCGCCCCTATCGGAATTCCCCTTCTTGGCGAACGTCGTTCCCTGGCCCTTATTAGCATAGCACCTCCTTTTCCCTGGCCTCACCTCCTCCGTAAGTGTCCCGAGACTTGTGCCCAGCTTGCCGGAGCTCATGATTATGCAGTAGTCTTATTAGCGTGACCCGCCCCTACGCCCCGCCCGGCTCCCCCCGCAGGCGGCCGCGGCGGCGGCGGCAGCGGT